CCCCTTTTCCTCCTCCGAATGTTCCAACCCCGCCTCCAACACCAAGGTTCCAGGCCCTCCCTCCCCAACCTCCGACGGCACAGGGCCTGCCCGAGGGAGGGCTGCGACGCATCATCCTAACGGCTTCTGGCGGTGCCTTCCGCGACCTCCCCGTCTCGGAGCTGCCCAAGGTGACGGTGGCCGATGCCCTTAAGCACCCTAACTGGGCCATGGGCAAGAAGATCACCATCGACTCCGGTGAGGAGGGACGGGCTAGAATTAAATTGCTTATCCATCATTCTTGGGATGGGGGATTCCTCATGTGCCTCAGCAGGAGTTCAAGCAACTGGAGCTGGGTGCTGCCCTGTGGCTCAGTGTGACGCATGTGCATTTTCTCGTATCTCATTGTAAGCTAGACCATGGCTCGTTGCCATAATTCTCCGAAAACTTACCCCCTGTTTCTTCCCTGTCGACCCAGCCACGCTGATGAACAAGGGACTGGAGGTGATCGAGGCGCACTACCTTTTCGGCGCGTCCTACGACAACATCGACATCGTCATCCACCCCCAGAGCATCGTGCACAGCATGATCGAGACCCAGGACTCCTCGGTGCTGGCTCAGCTGGGCTGGCCTGACATGCGGCTCCCCATCCTCTACACCATGTCCTGGCCGGAGCGAGTGCCCTGCTCCGAGGTCACCTGGCCACGCCTGGACTTTGTCAAGGCCGGGAACCTGACCTTCAGGTGTGGGTGGGGTTGGGGGGGGAAGGGATACATGGGCTGGGTCCATCTGCCTGTTGGACCCTTGTGATCCCTGCAGGAGCGCTACCTTGCGATGCTCAGTCCCTAAGCTGCCCTGTGGTAACATTCCTCAGGATCTTGGCTTACCCCTGCGAGCCAAGCTCGCCTCGCCCCGCAGACCCCTCTTTCCCATTCCTATTCATATACACAGGCAACCCGACCATGCCAAGTACCCCGCCATGGAGCTGGCCTACTCAGCGGGGCGGGCGGGCGGCACCATGACGGGAGTGATGTCCGCCGCGAATGAGGCGGCCGTCGAGCTGTTCCTGGAGGAGGCCATTGGGTACCTGGACATCGTGCCAGTGGTGGAGGCAGCGTGCGAAGCACACAGGTGCGCTTGCTTGCGTGGCATTGGGGAGTATATGAGGGGGGGGGAGGCTGTCAAGAAAGAATCCCAGGATCTCGAGCCCTGCAGCACTGCTGATGGCCGGATTGCTTCTGCCACACCACATCTGCTTGAATGGGAGCCTGATGCCCCCTCTTCACATTTTCACAGGGTGGAGCTGGTGGAGCGACCCAGTCTGGAGGAGATCGTGCATTACGACCAGTGGGCCCGCCGGCATGTGCGAGAGTCGGTCGCCAAGCGTGCTCCTGCCGCCGTGCCTGCCCTCTAGTGAGAACAATGTTGTACACTGAGCCACCTATGAGCAAGCATCATCCTCCCCGATGTCCGAGGGTGTGTTGTGCCACCGTGACTGTGTGATGAGCATCTGAAGGATCTTTCCAGCCAGAGCGAGGAGATTGTACGGCTCGAATGTGAATCAAGTCGTGCCTGTCCTTACATCCCTTCACAGTTCCCCCTCAGTACACCACTGGGTCACCCAAAGGTTCCTGGAAGATGTGAGGCATGCGTGCGAGTTAGCACCCTCGCCTGCCACCACAGATCGGACGGGAGCTCGAGTGGTGCGTGGGAGCGCAACCCACCTCCTTGATGCACCGCATCGAGCCCCTGCTCAACAATGACAAGTACGAAAAGGTAGCCGATCTCGATCGAGGTGAGCTCCGTGCGGGTGGCAGCGGTCGATCGGATGCCGGAAGGTCAGACCCCTGCCAGGGCTCGGTCCACTCGAAGCCCTCATTTCCTGCCATCCCACCAGCCCCACCCGCGCCCCTGCACAGGTGCATTCGGTTGGGTGCAGCACGCCCGCAACCGCTTCACAGGTGGGAGATCTGCAGGGCGGGCTGTGTAGGGGGTGGGACCAGCGGTAGTGTCAGCAGTGTCCAAGGGCATTGTCCTAGGTACGGCCAGTGCCGAGCTCCACCGGCTGCCCACCTGGCCCAGCATCCCTGGCAACAACCCCAATCATCGCTGCTTGCACAGGGGAGGATGTGGCCATCAAGTTCCTGCAGCTGGGCTCCCGCTTCCACAAGCGCTTTGTGGAGCGCGAGATCATCAACCACCGCCTCCTCTCCCACCCGCACATCGTGGCGTTCAAGGAGGTATTTGTGACCCCCCAGGTGCGCTGGAGGATGACGTAACTGGTCAACGAGACTCCACTTGCCCTCGCGATGTTGCAGCGTGGGCTGCATCGCGTTGGAAGCCGCCGAGAAGTGGGCTGGTGCAGGTACCAGCGCATCGCGCTGACCCCCTCGACGTCACCTCCCCTGTGCAACCCTGCACAATCCCTCCACCTGGACACCCTCTTTTAACTATCCCCAGTATCTCGCCATCGTGATGGAGTTTGTTGGGGGCGGCAACCTGCAGCAGTATGTGGAACGAGCTGGCACGCTTCCCGAGTGGCTCGCGCGCTGCTTCTTCCAGCAGCTCATCCTGGCGCTCAACTACTGCCACCAGCACCTGAACATCGCGCACCGCGACATCAAGCTGGTCAACATCCTGCTGAATACCAAGTACCAGATACCCATCCTCAAAATCTGCGACTTTGGCTACTCTAAGAACATCGTGACGGGGTCGGTGCCCAAGACGCGCGTCGGCACCGCCGCCTACATCAGCCCCGAGGTGGCCAAGAGCCACGGCGTCACAGCTTACGACACGGGTAGGGGGTTAGGATGGGTAAATGTGACGATGCGGGAAGGTGATTGAGGGCTCTGCTGGGGGAGGGGGGGTGGGGTGGGGTGCAGCCATGCGCGCGTGTTGTGGGCTGCTTCTTTTTGAGGAGACATGCGCGTCGGATACACGAGCATGGACCCTGCCTGCCGTGCTACGCACCACGGAGGGATGATACAATTGTGAGGTGTTGGGTCCATGACGACATCACCTGACCCATGCCTCTCCACCACCTTCCCCAAATAATAAAGAAAAAGCGGATGTGTGGAGTTGCGGGGTAACGCTGTACTGCATGCTGGCGGGGCGATACCCCTTCACCGACGCCGACCACCAAGTCAGGTGTGTTTAGTGAGGGGGTTCACTGCAGGACCGGGCTGTGTCTCGTGAGTGCCAGGGACTTTAGGTCCATGGGCCAGTGGGGGGGAGTGTAGTGTGGAGTGGAGAGAACAGCTGGCAGGCAGCTGTGAGGATCTGGTGGCAGTGCGCCGAGGCAGCCTGGCGCTCCCTTGAGCTGCTGATGAGTGCCGGGCCCTGGCGCACCTGCAATCTACTCTGGCTTGCCCCCGTCCCATGCCCTTTCGTCCGCTCCCTCATCCCATCTCGGCACGCATCCACACATATATACACCAGACACCTCCTACCCCCTTCCCCCTACAAACAATGGCAGGCTGCGGCACATCCAGGACCTGACCTCGCATGACGTGGCGGCAGCCATGGCCGCGCTGCCCCCGGTCTCGCCCGAGTGCCTGGCCCTGCTGCACCGAATACTGGTCATTGACAGCGGGGCGCGTGCCTCCTTCTCCGACATCATGGCCGACCCCTGGTTCCGCCTCTTCCTGCCCAACCTGGGGGAGATGGGTTCGGCGGTGGCGGAGGAGGTGCAGAGCGAGGCGGAGGTGCTGGAGCGGCTGGCAGAGGCGGCGGTGCACTCGGACGAGCGCGCGCGGGAGGAGGCGCTGAGCGACGAGGCCATCGCGCGGGGCATCGAGGACGTGTTCCTGGAGGTGGACCCCTCCCAGGCCCTGTCCATGGACCTTAGCTTCCAGCGATAGGCTTGAAAGGGTGGAGGTGAAGGCGGGCGCAGAGGGTTGGCGGCCAGTGCAGATGGGTGTCAAGAGTGTGCGGCATGAGATGCTGAATGGACTCCAGTTGACGAGAACACCACTGTGGGCTGCGCCACGATGCATGCCTGCCGCCCCTCCATGCCTCCCCCTCCATGGCAAGGGTCGGCTTGTGACACGACGAATAAGTAGGCTGCACTCGGAGCGAGCAAGGCAAGGACTTGAGGACAGACAGGCAGCCACCCAAATGAGGGGCAGCATATATACTGTTGCACATCATGCACGCTCTCTAGTTATTTGTGCTATGCTTGTGGCCGCACTCAGTGCACTCGTAGAACACGGTCTGGCCCTCGTCTGCGGAGCGCAGCTGCAGCGTGTAGAACTCCATGCCCTGCGCCCCGCAGTCAGGGCACACCTCGTCCACTGTGGCGCGCGTGCGGCCGTGCAGCAGCTCGTCCTCCTCCTTCTTCACCGACTCGGGGCGGACCAGCATCTCCAGCCCAAACCGGCGAGCAAAGTCCACCATGTCGGTCGTCTGGGTCACCTTCACTTGGCCCTCCAGCTCTGTGGAGGGAAGGGAGGGGGGTTGCAAAAGGAGGTAAAGAATGATGAGTGTGCAGAAGAGACGACCCACAGTCTGCATCAAAGCAAGCAGCTCTGCAGAAACACCCCCAATGCTCACCGTGGAGCTGCCGGGTGTAGCCAGACAGCTTGGAGCTGGCTATGTTCTTCAGCGGGTCAAAAACCAGCATGGAACCGGTGTAGGGGCAGAACAGCAGTCCTGAAGAGGACGCCGTCTGCATGCTGGGCTTACTGTGGCAAGGTGCGACGAGGGGCCTGAACTACGAGTAAACAACCGCGGTTACACCCTCCACTCGAAATTTCTTTCGTGGTATTGATAATACGTCTCGTCTGGTGTGTACTCCGCTCAACCAACGCCCTGCGACTTCACCGAAGAGACTCGAGCAAGCAATTGCATGAATTCGGCATTGAGAGCGGCGCGCGCGCGCAAAATCAGTCAGATCATGAGGACCTCTTTACTTTCATTACCGGGGCCACGAGTGACTCATTGCAGGATTTCGGTAACATCGGCACTCACATTCTTTCTCCTCTCGCAATCCAGGCATCTGAGGGTTGACTTGGCATGGTGAGCAACGGATTGTGGGGTGATGATCACGGATTATCACGTACATATGTGCATCAGATTGGTCCGCACCCAACATGTGAATTAACCCATGCTTATCGCCGATCAGGGTGCCAACAGTCATTGTAATGCCACTAATTTAGAATTTGCCTGTTTATGCTCCGATTCGAGGCGACTGGGAGCTCAAGGTGTCCCTTGGATCAACGTGCAGGTGGTGGCCAGTCTGGGAGGGTCCTGCCGCCTTGCCCGTGTAGGGCCTGTCATGGCACAGACTCACCCGCGCCCCAGTACAGTGGGTGGAGGGCTGCGTCATTCGGCAGTCGTGCACGCAGCTGCAGGGGCAGCTGCGGGCAATTCTGCCACCCGCAAGATTCTTTTCGTCTGTCTTGGGAACATCTGCCGAAGGTAATCTTGAGGGGCCCTGGTGCGGGCCAGCAGCGGACTTTGCAGGGCCTCTCCATTCGATATTCCTGCGGTCAAGGGGTCGGTGCCCACAGACGGTACACAAGGCCCTCATGTGGGTACTCTCCAGCATGCGGATGCATTGTGCCCACGAGCACTGACCTGCTTCATCTGCCATCATCACCCTGCCCACCCTCCCCCCTACCTCCCTCCCCATTCCTTCCCAAGTGCAGTCCGACCGCCGAGGCGGTATTCAGGGCCGAGGTGGAGCGGGCGGGCCTGAGCGAGCACTACTTCATCGACTCCTGCGGCACCGGGGGCGGCAGCGAGGACTGGTACCGCAAGGGCGGCTTCAACTACAACCTGGGCAACCCCTCCGACGAGCGCACGGCCCGCGCGGCCAAGCGCAGGGGCTACTACCTGACCTCCATCTCCCGGCCCCTGGCGCCGGAGGACCTGGTGGACAGCGCGCTGATCCTGGTGATGGAGCGCAGGAACGAGCTGGCGGTGCTGGAGGCCGCAGAGCACTGGCGCAGCGAGGGCCTGCTCAGCGTCGCCGCCCTGCCCCGCATCGAGAACCTGCCGCGCTACCTGCGCTCCGCCCGCTTCGGGGGCCTGGACACCATCCCCGACCCCTACTTTGGCGGCCCAGATGGGTTTGAGACCGTGCTGGACCTGGTGGAGGAGGCCTGCGTCAACCTGCTGACCGACCTGGAGGCCCAGCGTATGGGTTCTGAGAGCGGGGCCGGGGAGGCCCAGGAGCAGCAGGCCTGATGGCTGGCCTGGCATTCTTTGAAACATTGTTGATGACGCGTGCCATGGTTGGGAATCATGATGCAAGATGTATACGCACACGCTCCACTGCAACCCCCCAGGAGGCTCTGCACACCCCCCGGTCACTGTTCGGGGGGAGGGTACTCCGCCGGCTCCTCGGCCAGGGGTGCGTTCGCCGCCGCCCTCGTGAAGCAGGCAGCGTAGTTGATGGAGGTGTTGGTGCCCAGGGACCAGGTGCCGGTGACCGGGTTGAACTCCATGCCGGCCAGCTGCCAGAGGTGGAAAGGGGTGTGTGCTCTGAACAGCTGGGTGAGCTCCGTGGGGGTCAGGAACTTGCTCCAGTGGTGGGTGCCTGTGGAGTGGGAGGGGTGGTGGGTGGCGGGAGGGAAGAACTTGAGTGGACGAGGGTGACCAGGCACAGAGCCATGGTCGCTGTGATACTGTGCACACACACGTTGGATGGGAGGCAAGGTGCTGAAGCATGCATCCTGCCACAGGGAGGGGGTGAGTCGGCGTACTCCGAAGCAGGAGCAGCGGTGAACACGCCAGCCAGCACATCCAAGCCCCGACCTTCCCTTCACGCACCCTGCCAGCATCCACCAAAACATTCCTCCCCTCCCACCCTCTCAGCGCCTCACCCTTGGGCACCCAGCGCAGAACGTACTCTGCCCCCACGATGGCAGCCATGTAGGAGGCGGGGGTGCGATTCAGGGTGGTGACCAGGACGGGGGCCTGAAGGCGCGCGCACTCTGCCAGGCTGGACACAAAGGTCGGCAGGGAACGCACGTGCTCGATGACCTCGCTGGCAATGACTGGAGTATGGGGGGGACGTGGGAGACAGTGAGGGATGGGATGTGCGGGCGAGTGGGTGATGTGCTGCAGCAGTTACAGGGCAGTGCATCAGCCCGATGTGTGCACATCCGCAGAACCCCGGCCATGTCACCAAGGCACCTGCACACCCCTCCCTTCCTCGAGTGGACATCCTCCCTGGATGCAGCAGCCTCACCGACGTCAAACTTGTTCCCCGCAGCCGCCAGGTCCTCAAGGGTCGTCGCGCGGTAGCTGCAGAGGCTGGCCAGCCGGGGGTCGGCCTGGGCATGGGCCCGAGCCGCCGCCAGCCCCTCCTCGTTCACGTCTATGCCCAGCACTGCCGCCCCGCGCTTGGCCAGCGACTCTGCCAGGATGCCGCCGCCGCACCCGACGTCCAAAATGTCCAGGCCGCGGAGCGGCGCAGGCAGCGATGCATCCAGCCTGCAGGGACGCGCGAGGCATGGGTGTGTAGCTGAGTCAGCAGAGAGGCGCGAGTAGGATGTGCAGCAGGCACCTTGCTCAGGCGAGGGCGCCCTGCTTCCAAGTGTGTAGCCAGGCAAGGAGGGGCTGGGCACACACTGCAAGCAGAATGACGGAATGGGTTTGCCCCTGGCAACCTCATATCACCCCCCGCGCCGTAAAACCAATCGCCCCTCCACCCACCCCAGGTGATCGCAGATGGACTGGACCATGAACTCCACGCGTGTGGGGTTTAGGTGGTGGAGGGGCTTGAAGGGGCCAAGGGGGTCCCACCACTTTCCTGCCAACTCCCTGAACTTGGCAGCCTCCCGGGCGTTCACGGTGCTGGGACCATGCACTGAATTCGATGCGGGTTGGGGTCGGGGAGTGCTGCTGGCTGTACTCTGAAAGGAGGTGCTGGCTGCTGCGTGGGATGCCAGCCTGTGTGGTGGGAAGAGGTAGGTGTGGCTGGGCCACAGTTCCACGCTTCACGGCCGATGCACATGACTGTGCGAGCTTCAGACTTCATATCGATAGCTCGAGATGTCTCACCTGATGGCCTCGTTGGAGGCAGGATCAACAAGTTGATCCAACGCAGGCCAGGGCGACATTGACGTCCAGCTCCCCCATACACGCAGGGAAGTCGAACACCGACCAAACATGCTGAGGTCAACTGCAATACCAGTTGTTGAAGATAAATGAATGTTATTGAGAGTGTAGAAGAACTCAGCAGCGGTCGCTCAGGAGACCAAAAGCATCTGATCAGTCTTGCGTGCTCGCATCTCCGCAACCCCCCGCCACCGGGTGTGGGTCCATCAGAGCGCCATGTCGATAGCCGTGGTGAATGGACGCATATGAAAGGGCTCTTTCGAGTACATCAACGTATATTATCTGGGCATAAACAATCTACTTCTGCTGCCCTGGTCGGATAGACTCGGCCCAGAGTGAGAGGGAGGAGGCGATGGCACGGTCCCGTTCCAGGAGCCCGGATCGCAGGCGTCGGGGCCGCAGCAGGAGCAGGGAACGGAGGTAAGGTGTCGTTGATGAAGAACATGCGTGGCTATACGACTCGCATGCGGCCTCTCTTTCCCGCTGGGCTCTGCCCAACCCCTCACTCACCCACCCCGATCCCTCCTGCCCCCGCCCAGGCGGAGCAGCAGCCGTGACTATGAGCGCCGCAGCCGGTTCCTGGTCACCGACACGGACCAGGCCAGCTTCGCGGCCCAGATGCAGCAGCAGCAGTTGGCCGCCCAGCAGCAGGCCGCACTGCAGAAGCAGATTCTGGCGCAGCAGATGCTGGCGGGCGGTGGCGCTGCGGGGCTGGCCGCCGCGGCCGGCGCCGCGGCCGGCGGCCTCACCGACAAGCGCCAGCGCGAGGTCTACATCGGCAACCTGGCCATGGGCCAGGTCACGGCCGACATGCTGCGCGAGTTCTTCAACCAGGCGTTCTCCCACCTGACCCCAGACCCCGTCAACGCGCCCCCCGTCACCCGCTCTGCCATGGAGGGGCCCTCCCGCTACGCCTTTGTGGAGTTCCGCACCGAGGAGATGACGCTGGTGGCGCTGAGCATGGACAAGGTGGTGGAGCTGTGCGGACGCCCGCTCACCATCGGCCGTCCCAAGGGCTGGACGCCGCCGCTGCCCAGCGCGGCGCCCGCCGCTGCAGCAGCCGCGGGTCCCACTGCACCAGCGGCGGCCCCGGAGCAGACTTTGCTGCTCAGCAATGCGCTTCCGGTGAGCGGGGTGCGGCAGGCAGAGGATCGAGCGGTGCTGGCGGCTGAAGTGAGGGAGGAGGCGGAGCGGCACGGCCGCGTCGAGGAGGTGGCTGTGCCGGCGCCGCCCACGAGCATCCAGGTGCGCTTTCTATTGTATGGTGGGTGTATGGATTGGGGTTCCGTCATAGAAATGCACTCGGGCGGGGCGGCATGATCATGGGCGAGGATAATGAACTTGGGGATGGGAAGAGCGTGAGGGCGGCCTAGCGTGATCCCCTTGTCATCTGGACTGCCCTGGAGAGGGTGTGCTTGGTTCTTTTCAATGCCCAGCACACTCCCTGCGCCCCCGCCCCCCAACACCCCAGCTCCCCACCTGTGCAGGATGCCATGCCGGCGCGGGTGTACATCCGGTATGCGACCCCGGAAGACGCCAAGGCGGCGGTGGCCATCTTCAATAAACGCACGCTGGATGGGAACGTCATCAAGGCAGTCCTCGTGCCAGACGAGGAGTGGCAAGACTCGCGCGCCGGGCAGTGGGTCACGCGGCACAGCAGCATCGCCGGCATCCCACTTCCTGGTGCGAGGGAAGGACGGGGTTTTATCGCTGGAAACTCTGGCCAAGACTTTTGTATGTACATGTGGGGGCAAAGGTGGCTACTTCTGGGAGGCTGTGCATGGGCAGAGATCGTATTTCGTGGGCGTCCAGAAACTTACCTGACAACCCTTCCCTCTCCCCTGGCTGCATTTCTCGCCAGGCCTGTACACCAAGACACCCCTGCCCGCCGGGATCACGGGGCTGGCAGCCCTCAACTCCGCGCTCTCCGCTCTGGTCCAGACGAATCCGGGAATCGCGACGGTGCTCACCGCCGGGATCAACGCTGAGGAGGTTGGGGAGGGGGAAAAAGGGGTTGGTGGGAGTTGGGCCTGTCTGTGAGGAGGCATTGTGTTGGCACAGTTGATTTTGATTTTAACATGGACACAGCGAGCATTTCCAATGCATGCACCCCCCCTCGGGACTAAGATACTCCAGTTCCTCTTTCTATTAGCCCTACCAACACCCCTCACAACCACATGACTAGGTACCGCTGGAGGAGGGGTACGTCAAGGTCAGGAACCTGACGCCCACCGTGACCAAGAAAGACATCCTTGACTTCTTTGTGGTGAGCTCCCTGGGGTTCAAGCCTCCTGGGTGTGTTGCTGATCGCGTGGCAATGGCCCAGCAGCACGTGTGAGAAGCAGCCGTTGCTCGTGCAACAGACCCACATGTTTGTCCGAGTTTAATCCAGTGCCGGTGCTCACCCCCATCCGTTCATGTCCCTCTGTGCGCAGGGCTGCGGAGTGCAGGCCGAGTCGGATGTGACGCTGGTGTACAGCGCCGACGGCACCTCCCTGGGCGAGGCCTTTGTGCACTTCTCGGGCCCGCAGGCGCGGCTCAGGCTGGGCCTCTCCCGCGACGCCACAGTCATGCCCGTGCGTGGGATGTCGGAGAGGGTAGGCTGTCGCATGTGCATGTCGCGGCACCAAGAAGTGCCTTGATTCAGCCTGACCTCGCCACAGCGTGTCCTCCCTTCCTCGCATCGCCATGCAGGCAACGGCGCGGCCGGTGGAGGTGCTGACGGCGGTGGGCGAGGATCTCCAGCGACGAATCATGTCGGGCTGCAGGCTGGAGTAGGGGCGGCGGGGAGGAAGGTAGTCATCCAGCCGGCGAGCTCCTGGCTGCGCTGGCTGGGCACATGCACTGTGCCTGAGCGGGCGGCCCCAACACCCTGCTCCCTCATGCCTTTGCATGCCAGACCTTGCTGCTGCATCTGCCGCGCATCTCAAGCTGCACTCTGCTGTCACCCAGGAGAAGGGATGCGTGGTCGTACAAGGGAGCGCAAGCCTGGGGTCCCGGTGCAGGCCATGACAACCCCTCTCAAGCAAGCTTCCCGCCCTCAGCGCCGCTGGTCGTCTGGGAAGAGGGCGGCCAGCCTCTTGCCGCGCGCGCCGGCCTCGCCCCAGTCCGCCCGCAGCGCGATGACCTGGCGGGCACGCTGCGCGGTGAGGCCCAGCGTGCTGCCCACCAGGCCCGGCAGCGCCTCGGGCGCCACCACCAGCAGGCCCGCCTCCGCCTCCATCTCAGCCAGCTGGCGCGCTGCGGGGCCGTCGGCGCGCGCAGCGCGCCGATACTCCTGCAGGTCGCGCCGCCAGCACAGCGCGCCCAGCGGGCAGAAGCGCTGGCGCGCCATGTGCCGCCGCAGCGCATCCACCAGCCGCAGGCCCACCTGAAATGTTTGTGGGAGGGAGGCAGGGTAGGCGGTCGGGGTCTGCACAGGGCGTTCTCGTGGGAGCTGCCACCGGGGGCCTGACGCTTGGGAATCATGCCATTGTACCAGCAACAACACACCCATCGTCCGTCCCTCAAGTGCTCCAGCATCTCATGCCCACCTCCGCCTGCATGGACTCGCGGTTGGGGCCGTGCAGGCATTGCTCGGCCAGGAGCATGAGCTCCTCCAGCGTCGCGCAGGCCTGCGCGCAGGCCGGCGTGGGGCGCTCCCCTGGCCCCTCCCCCGGCACGGCGTCGGCGTCGGAGGGGCGGAAGTCGGCGGGCAGCTGGCACTCCGCCAGCCGCGCCTCCAGCCCGGCCAGCTCGGCGGCCAGCGCGGCGTCGAGCGCCGCCAGCGCCTCGGCGTCCAGCTCGGCGCGCAGCGCCTCCAGCCCCGCGGCCGCCGTGCGCGCGTCGGCGGGGGCAGGGAGCAAGGCCGGGGCCACGCGCGCCCCGTGGTGCGCCAGCAGCAGCTCCAGCGCGGCGCCCAGCGTGCCCAGCGCGCCCAGCACCTCGCACATCCCGGCGCTGGCCGCCAGCCCGGCGGCCAGCAGGGCGCGGGCCTGCCGCAGCAGGCAGGGCGGGCCCTCTGGGGCGGCCAGGTCGGCGGCGGTGCCGTGCAGGGTCCGCACCGTGGCAGTCAGGCCGGCGCCCAGCCCCAGCGTCGTCGCGCGCTCCAGCGCCTGCAGAAAGAAGGTGGGGAGGGCCCCCGGGTTTACGACGATGTTTTCGGAAGGCATGGGGAGAAGGAGGTGTGATGGTGCTGCCCTCAGGGACTGGCGCCCACTGGACGCTGTTGAAAGGATCGCATACCAAGACAGGCAAGGGCAGTGGACAACGCGGGCTGGCGTTGGCAGCGGGCTCGCGCCCTGAGGCATCCTATCATGCCACTGTTGCCCCCCAGTCGCTGCAATCGCAGGTCGACGCATCAAACAACGCCTCTCACAAACCAGAAACCCATGCCAGCCCCTGACCTCCGTGTGAGCGGCCAGCAGCTCCATGAAGGACGGCAGCGAGAGTGGGTTGCCAGGCGCCCTTTCTTCCTCCTCCCGGAAGCGTGTCTCTAGCCACTCCAGTTCCTCCTCCACATAATTTGCCAGGTGCTGGGCCGTGGCAGCATCCGCCAGCTCGTTCATCAGGGCGCTCTCTCCACCCATCACCTCCTGCATCGGTGTTGGGGAGGGGTGCATGCGCTGGCGATGGGAGGGGGATCCTGTGGATTGCAGCGCAACAGGCGGGGGAGACATTCCCCTCCATGTCTTGCCTGCCAGAGCCTTGTACGCATGTCCCCACCCTCAGCATTTGCCCCAGACCGCATTGCCGTGCTTTTCATCACACACCACGCCAACCTGGGCGTCGCTGGCCAGGCCCCGGGTCATGGCCACCGCCTCCGCCAGCTGGCGAAGGTGGGCGCGCAGGTCGGAGGCTGAGGGGGGATCGGGCACTCCCCGCCAGCTCAGCGCCTGGTCGACGGCGAACTGAACACGCTGCTCAAAAACCCGCGTGACCAGGGCAGCCAGTGCCGCCGTGGGCTGGGTGAAGACCTGTGTGAGGTTGAAGGGGGGTGGGTCGGGGAGTCGTGCCCTGGTGACTGCAGGTGGGCAGCCTGGCAGGCACAACACAGCAGTGGCCGGCGATGGGGTCCACATCATCTTGCAGGTACCCACCAACCCCACCCAGCATCACAAGCTGACCTGTTCTGCTACCACCGCCTCGTTCATGATGTTCTGGAGCAGGGTCTTGTAGAGGAGCCTCAGGCTGCGCAGCGGGGAGGCGTCCCCAGGACTCCCAGGCGGCGGTGGGTTTCCGGCGTCGAGTGGGCCCCGGCCCATCAGCCCCTGCTCCGGCTCGGTGAAGATGGGGCGGGTGGAGATGTATCGCTGGATGAGCAGCCTCTCGCCCGACCCCGAGGGGTCGCCCTTCTTCCCAGCCCCGGCCGCCATGATGCTGAGCTCAGATAGAGTGTGGGGACAGAGTGGGAAGCTGGTGTTTGGGCAGAGGAGGTTTGCGAGTTACGAAACTCAGCGCGTGTGACACACTCACAATCCAGTGCGACTCCCTCAAGGGACTGCTACACCCATAGTCCACCCCCATAGCCCCTCACCGTGCGCAGGCCGCCATGGCGGGGAAGTCAGATCGGGCCAGGGCGGCGTCAAACCTGGACACCACCCGATTGTCCAGGGCATTGCAGTACTCCTCCAGCCTCACCAATGCAGCATTGATGCTGCCAAGCTGAATCGAAGGGAAGAGGGATGACGCCGTGGGTGGAAGTGCAAGGAGCTGTGTACAGAGTCAAGAAGCTGGGTCATCCGCCCCGTGCAAGCATGCAGGGATGCCATGAATGCCATCAGCATGAGGCCCAATGCCCATTCCACACACTGGGGCGCTCTGCTTGAGGGTGTGGGAGCTGCGCATGGCCTCCACGACCTCCCGGGACACTGCCAGCAGGGCAGTTGCTGTGGCCTGCCAGAGATACAGGAGAAGGGCGGAGAAGGTGTGAGGGCATCTGAATGAATGACCAGGTGTAGTCTTGAGTCCCTTCTCCTCTGTGGACTATTACTGCAGCTACAGCCCTCAGCCCCCCCTTCCACCCTCAGCCTCACCGCCGCCTCCCCGGCTCGTGCATCGTCGTGGAAGAGGGCTGGCAGGGCAGACAGGCTGGGCGCGTGAGCAAAGGTGAGCAGGTGGTTGAGCTGGCGGATTGCAGCCGACGCGCGCTGCTTCTCCAGGAGCGCCGTCTGCGGGAGTGGAAGGGGGCTCGTTGCATCGTGATCAGCGCATGCATCTCAGGGCTGCCTGCGCCAGCTCCACATGTCATCTGATACTTCCTGCTGCCGCTGCAGGCTCTGCGTATGTTGCAGAGCCATGACTGCACCGCACATGCACACGCACCTTCAACCGATTTCCATGCCGGGTGGCTGCCTGAGTCAGGGTGGCAGTCTTGGCCTCCACGTCCCGGAACAGGCCCTGGGCTTCCGAGTGACCACGCTCCACCGTCTGCAGCGACGCAAGTAGCAGCCCCTGCCTCTCACTGGTATCTTGTTCCAAGCGCTCGCAGACTGTGTTCGCTGCCTTCTGAATCTCTCCCAGCCGCCTCTGCACTCTGGGCTCATAGAGAGAATGGGGTGGACTAGAGATCAGACGGACTCTCAAGCCTCTTGAACACAGACTCTGAGCGTTCCAGAGTGGATATACTCGGAATATGGGCAGGGATGCAAGCATGATCCATTCTTGCTCGTCGATCCGGCACAGGAGAGGGCCTCACCCTGCAAGATGACTGTGTATCGACTGCAGGGCCTCGACAGGAAGGGGTCGGCCAGTCTCCCCATTCCATTGGCCCAGGGCCGTCTGAAAGATCTCATCGGTATCAAAGCTGGGGTCTTTCAAGGACTTCAAGGTGAGATTCGATAGTGTTGGATCGGGCGCACTCATTGTGGTCGTCGCGCTCCAGTGCCAAGTGATCTGCCCGAGTTACAGGCAAGCACAGAGCCCGACTCGAAAGTCGGCGCATATTCTTCCCATTTCTTCATCACGTACAAGGGCTTCGCGCGGCTAGACACGAAGATCATTCGTGGGTGCGGTGTTCTGGTTCCCCGATGCGTTCAAGCTGGGCGCGACCGGCCACAATTCGCGCGCGCCTGACGAGTTTCACGAGAGTCGCGGCCAGTTCCCGATTACGCATGCATGCATGTCCCAAGCATCATTATAAGCGAAAATAATAGGGCTTAAACATAGCAATGAGCGTCTCAGAAGCGAGTGATGGGCCTGAGGAGTGGAGCGACTGGGAGGAGTCGGAGGAGGGACCTGTGAAGAGCTTGTTCTCGGACACCTGGCTGCCCACGGTGGAGGAGGTCATCAAGCACGACTCAGAGGTCCACGGATTCGACCTGAGCCTGTTCAGGAAGCAGGTGCGAGGGGTGTGTAGCGCATTTGTATGGGGGCCAGTGGCTAGCACTCTTGCCCTCTACCTAGCACCCAGGCCGCCGCGCATGAGACGCACACAAAGTCCGAGCTTGCAGGAGAATCTGGATACGTATGGCACCCTGCAGCTCATAAACTACATCAGAGGTTGTGCGGGGGAGGGTGCCGAAGCAGTGCTTCCCACTCTGGCCACACGTCCCTGGGCAGACGACGCTTTCTTCCTGCCCACGCTGGCTGGCGATGGAATGCTGAGCCATGACTGGGACGAGGAGGGTGCCTGGAGCGCTTCCCCTGCAGAAGCCAGCGGCTGCGGCGCCAACGCCTGCCAAGCCCAGGAAGAAAATGCGGTGGCCATGCGGGCGGCCGTGCTGGCCCTGCAGGCCGCACTCCTCGACGAGCCCTCCACCCCTGTGCCTTCCACGGCAGCTCAGGGGAAGACCCAATCTGGTGGCCCCCCGGCCTCTGCCCGAGTCGATGCGGCATACTTCGAGTCCTACAGCTTCTTTGACATCCATCGCGACATGCTGAGTGATAAGGTAGGGTGGGCGCTGCGATGACTTGGGCCTGGCGGAGATCGAGACAGGCACGCGCTGCCTAGCCTGCCGTTTGGAGTGTGGCTCTCCAGAGTGCCCTTGACCCTCACCAAACAATGTAAGACGACCTCCAATCTCTTGGCAGCTTCAAACCCTCTTCAATCCCCGCCCTCAATCGGCTGCAGGCCCGTACGGAAGCCTACCAGGCCGCGCTCGAGCAGAACCCACAGCTCATGCAGGGCGCTCGCGTGCTGGACGTCGGTTGCGGAACGGGCATCCTCTCCATGTTTGCCGCCCGTGCAGGAGCCTCTAGGGTCGTAGGTGAGGGGCCTTTGAGCTTGTGTGTCGGGGGCTGTTGGAGCTGTGGCCAGGAAGGGGGAGCTCGTCTTGTTTCAGCCAGAAACATGCTTCTCCTGGCAATGCTGGGGAGAAGTCCACCAAATGGGGCACCTCCCACCCACCCAAATCCTCATCAGAGCTCTGCCAGTTCCTCCAAAGGAGGAGGCCTGCCAGTTTACATCTTAACTAAACCCCCCTACACCTATTCAGGAGTGGATGGGAGTTCTCGAATTGCAGAGGTGGCCCGCCAGAATGTGCTGGCCAACGGGCTGGGCGACCGGGTCAGCATTGTTTCTGGCAGGGTTGAGGCCGTCGAGGAGCTGGATGTCCCCGGCAGCAAGGTCGATGTCCTCGTCAGCGAATGGATGGGTGAGGGCCTACCTTGGGGGGGGCGCAGTCTGGGCGGGGCTGGGCAGCATGCAGTTTCTTTCACACTGCGCCTGGTCGAGTGAAACCCAGGAGTGGAGAGCCGATGTACTTTGACCCCATGCTGGGACAAAGGGTGTTGAATCCCCCTGGCCAATGTTTGCTGCATGTGCAATCCTGCCAATGGTGTTTTGGCATTCTGTGCCTAGAGTCCGCCCAATACCCACACCTGTCTCACAGGCTATGCCCTCCTGTTCGAGTCCATGCTGGACTCGGTCCTGGCGGCCCGCGATCGCTTCCTCGTCCCCGGCGGCGCCATCCTGCCCGACCAGGCCTCGATCTATGTGGCCGGGGGCGGTCCGGCGGCCGGAGGGCTTTCCTTCTGGGACGAAGTCTATGGCTTCAGCATGGCCCCGGTGAAGGGGACGCTGCAGGCTGCAGGTGGGGTCGGATCGGAAGCCGGTGGGAAAGTGGCATTGGGGTGCTGGCTCGGGGACCTCCCTCATGGCTTGTAAACCATGATGGGGCGCAGTGTGCTGCAACCGAGCCACTCTGGCATGCGCGGGTTGCGCCGTACAGCCATTGACGACGTGCATCCCCCTGCCCACTCCCTGCCCAGCCGAGAGGGAGGCGCTAGTGAGGCTGGTGAGGGCAGAGGACCTGGTGACTGAGCCTCAGAACCTGCACACCTTTGACCTGGCGACCATGTCGTGCGCGGATCAGGACTTCAGCGCCACCTTCCAGCTGCGTCCCCGACCTGGGTCCGCGGGTGCGCAGGGGTTGCATGGGCAGTGCCCGCCCTCCTGGGCTATGATTTTGGGAGGGTCTAGGGACGGGCATTGGCATCGGGGACTGCAGCTGGGACGCGGGGGGAGTGGATGGGATGGGCAGGTGCCGGCTTCCCTTCCCGTGTGGGATCCGCGCCAAGTGCCATCTGGGTACCTTGAGACTGGCAGAAGGAAGCTCGGTGCCCACTGAGAGAACCCTGGCCCCGCACTCCCCACAGGAGCCTGCCACGCCATCGTCGTGTGGTTTGACACCGCCTTCTCCTTGCGCTTCTGCAAGGACCGACCTGTAGTGCTGGACACCTCCCCCACCGGGCAGCCGACGCACTGGGCCCAGACCATCCTGGTGCTCAGGTGCCATGGGAAGGAAGACATGGAGAGAACATGAGGGAGGGGCATGTCGCTGCCCACTCCCCAGGCTGGACAATGCATTACTTGGCAAAGAGGGAACCTGGCATCCTACCTCGTGGACCTCGCAGGGCCGACTCCCTCCCTCCTCTCCTTCCACCCAGGGAAGCGCTGGTGCTGGACGCTGCCACCGGTCAGAGCGTGTGCGGCCGGCTCAGCTTCAATCGCAACAAGGCCAAGCACAGGAGCCTGGACATCACGCTGCAGGTGGCGGCCATGCGGGTGGGGCAAGAAAGCACAGAGGACGTGCTGGCATCGTCGGCTGCCCAGGCCCAGCTCTTCACCATGGGCGTGAGCTCCGGGGACTGACATGGCGGGAGTCGTGCCAGCCATGCTGTTATTGCTGAATCAGAGGGCGCGCAAAATGGCGTGACCAGCAGCCAGGTTGGGCATGCGCGGACCACGCGACGGCAGAATGCAGAGTGGACTTGCTGGTTTGTCAGCTTTCCATGGGGGATCTCTGATGGCACCAGGCATTCACTGTCCCTGGCACACTGCCAAGGAATGCTAGAACCTGAAATGACCTTGCACTGTTTCTCAACCAACTTGAGTGCTGCTGGGCACACTCAAGGAGCACCCGAACCCTCTAAACCCAAGAGCACATCTGATAGACATAGGCTCTGCCTTACAAGGACCCTTCTGCCAAACGTATCGCGAGCACGCACTTGCACTGACTCTGCCTCAGGTTCACCATCAGGAGGTACATGCGTGAGCGCCTTGGCAGGGCGACAACAAACCTCACAGGAAGCATACGAAAAGCCACTCAGGCCTGGCGGCTGCTGCTCCTCCGCCGCTCAGGCCTGTCCCGGCTGCGCTTCCCATCATCCCTCCTGTGCCGATGCTTGTGGCTCTTCTCCTTCTTGGAGTGCTCCTTCCTGCAGCATGTGTTGCGGGAGGTGGGGGTGCCACGGTGATGAGGTGCAGGGCGGAGTTCACCCAGGTAGACTGAACGACGCCATCCGAGGTTCAAAGTGCTTCCCCGGAGCTGGCGGCGTCAATTCCCCAGCCTGAGCGGCCAGAGGCCCATGCCAGCATCTCAACTATGAACCCTGATCAACAGGCTCACCGCTCCCTTGACGAGTGCGGCCGGGGGTTGACCTCACGGGGCTCAGGGGCCGGTGCCGCCTTATGCATCGTGGGGTCCTGCTCCGCCCTCTCAGCCCCTCGTGACGGCTCCTCGTGACGGCTCCTCCCGCTTGGTGCCCCCTCCCTCTCGGTCGCGGCTGGGGCGTCCGCCGCTCCTGCATCCTCACGGACATCCCGTCGCTCCTCCGGCTGCCACACGATGGGCTGGCGCTCTCTGCGGACAGGCGCAGCAGGCTCGGGCGGCATATGCTCACGCGATCCCCGGTCCCGACCACGTTCCACGTCCTCGTCGCTGCGGCGCCTCTTGGTCCGAGACTCCTCCTCCACCACCGCCCTCGGCCCACCCTCCTTCCGCCTTTTCTCCCCAGACGGCTCCCTCCCGACCTCGCTCGCGTCCTCTGGGCGCCGCACGACAAACTCGCCCCAACCCAGGTCGTCGCCACCGTCCCCTCTCGGCTGCTCCCGCCCTGCATCGTCGGCCCTGCGCAGCCTGCCCGCTTCGCGCCGTCCACTCCTCTCCGAGACCCTGTTGCGGCCCGCTCCCAGACTCTCAGCCTCTGCGCCATGGGCCGGTGAGGGCAGCGGGGGCAGCTGGGCGGGCGCCGCCTCCGCCGAGGGCAGCGAGGGGTCCGGCCCCTTGGTTGACGTCTCCGGGCCATTGCGCTGTGAGGAATCGGCCTTCACCTCTCTCGTGCTGTGTCGGGACGTCCTTGCGTCCTCGTCCTTGGTCCTCCGACGCGGAGTCTGGCCGGCCAGGTCCCTGGCATCGCGCCGTGACGACTCAGTCCCATCGATTTTCGCCCGCCGCCGCAGGACATCCTCCTCGTCCCTGGCCTTGCGCCTCGACCCCTCGCTGTCCCTGTCGTTTCTGTGGCGGCCAGGCGATGACGGCCGGAGAGGCACTTCACCTCTCCCCTCGGCGGCCTGTGGGAGGGGTGGCAGTGGGCGATCGAGGTGTGAGGCGAGTGGCTCTGAAACGACATGCGGGCTGCACCTTCCATCAACATCCTAGCCCAGGCTTGAGAGGGCCCAGGCCAGGGCAGGGCAGGCCCAGCTGCGGCCATACTGCGGCGGGCATGCGTGAGGCACTGCGCAATTTGAAGGAGACCCCCAAGAACACCAGCCCAGGCAGACGCACCCTGTGGGTTCGGGAGGTGGACCGCGAGCGAGCTCGCCGGCTGGTGCTGCGGCGACGCTCAGACTCCGGGCGCGCCAGATCAGGACGCACGTCAGCCTCCTGCCTGCGCTCCCGCTCAGGACGCACGTCAGCCTCCTGCCTGCGCTCCCGCTCAGGACGCACGTCAGCCTCCTGCCTGCGCTCCCGCCCAGTCGCCTCTCGCGACCTCTCCCGCTCCCTCCTGCTGTCTTCACGTGGCCGCGATCGCTCCCGCTCCCTCCTGCTGTCTTCACGTGGCAGCGATCGCTCCCGCTCCCTCCTCCCCTTGGGGCTGAAGGCCCGACGGGGGGGCGGGGAGACCTGCCAGGGTGGCAAGGCACCTCGGCTTGAACGGTCGCCCCCTGTCCTCTCCCGACTGCGGCTCCGAGCGCGGTCTGGCAGCTGGACGGTGCGCGCCTTTCGGCGCAGGGGTGCCATGTTGTAACGTTCCCGGTACTCGTCCTGCATCCGCTCAAAGTCTGCAAGGAGGGCGGCAAGTCGAGACAGGGTGGGTGGGTGGGAGTGGGCTTTGAGGGGATGGATTACTCATGTCACCCAGTGAAGACCCCTGGCGAGGGAATATTCCTGGAAGGGAGTCCGTGTGCCACAGCCGCCCCATGCGCGGATCTTCCATCATCAGGGGCAGTCCAGCCAGACTCCAAGCACAGAACCCCCCCCCTTATTTGCCCAGCTGCGGCAGGCCCCCATGCCAGCCACCACCAGCCCAACCTCTGCGAAGGAGGGGTGTCCGCCTGTCAAAGGCGCGGCGCAGAAATTCCGGAGGCCCGCGCGGTGTGGCGGCCCCCGCCAGGAAGGCGTCGAAGAACGAGGGCTCCGCCGCGCTGGTCTCGGGCCCCTTGCCTGCCGCGGGCGGCGGGGAGGCAGGCGGCGGCGGCTGCGCTGGCGGCGGCGGCTGCGCCCCCATCAGGGCCGGCAGCGGCGGCTGCGCGGCCGGGGGCGGGGATCCCGGGGGCGGAGGGGGCTTGGACCCCGACGCCGGCAGCGCCGGTTGCACGGACGGCGCCAGCTCCTCGCCGACGCCCAGCGCTAGCAGGTCTGCGCCGGGCTCCGTCGCGGTGGGCAAGCCCAGCACCTCCCGCGCAAAAGCGTCCTCGTTGGGCACCAGCGTCCCCGTGGCGCCGTTGGGCAGCACCAGGCTGCCTTCCTCCCTTTCCTCCAGCCGCGTGAGGGGGATGCCGATGGGCGGGCGCACCCGCTTGCGGTCGAATGCCGGGTCGCCCTGGGTGGGGCAGTTCTGCACCCAGTGGGCCCCGGCCACCTCACACCTGCAGCAATAGGGGGGGAGGAAAGTCCACACATCTGAGCAGAGCAGGCAAGGGGAAGCAGGTTTGAGGGGGGCATTTCGGGTAACTAAGAGCCCCTGGAAGGGCAAGCCAGAACACGGAGGCAGGAAATTGCAAGGGTATTTGTGCGGGAGATGCCCTGTATCCCATGGCTCCTGGAAGACAGGCTCATGGGTGCATCTGCTTTTATTCACCAGTGCTGGAGGGCCCCTGTTGCTGTGGACAGTTTCCTGCCCGGCTTGAGCACGGGGTCTGGTGTCGCGTCAAACTTCCCGGCAGACTTTGGGGACAGGTGCTCCATACATCCACCCGCACCGCAATCGACCCCAGTGGAACTGGCATACAGCAGGAGGTGCGCGAGGATGCAGGCAGGGGGGTGGACAGGAAAATTGCCATCACACATCAGGGGAACTGCACACCGCTCCGCGACCTCGTATCCCCACCTCGGGCAGCGGTACTCCAGCGGCACGGATCCACGCCCGCCCCGCCCGCGCCCTCTGCCGCGCGCGGCGCCCTGCCGGACCTCACGCTGCCAGGTGGCGGCTGTGCCGGCCAGCAGGCTCTGCAGTGCGGCCTCCTCCTCGCCATTACCAGTGGGAGGGACGTCGGAGTACAGGTCCCCGCCAAACTCATCCGCGGCCCCGTCGGCGTCGACGGCGTGGTCGGTGGGCAGGGACTGCCCAGCGACAGGGGTGGACGCTGGCGCTGTGGCGGCGCTCAACGGCTTGAAGCTGGTGATGGGGGCCCGCTTCACCAGCACCAGTGAGGAGCGGGGGATGAGTTTCGCCTCGTCCGTCAGCTCCTCGGAGGTGCTCGAATCGTAGAGGGTGAGCTCCTGGGCGCCCTCCGGGCCCAAGCCGCGCTTGACAGCGATCAGGCGCTTGATGTCCCCCACCTGGATGACGGAGCCATCGAAACTCACGGAGTCCTGCTGCAAGGCATTCTTGAACCTGAAGTTGATTACACTCGTCATTCAGTTCCAGGGGGCACGGCGTGCTCGGCTAGCCAGGGACACACGGCGGGAGTTGCTGCGCCACCTCCGCTCCCCAGCTACCCTCGGCTCCCGCTCCCGCAGGCTCCCGCTCCAAGAAACACGCTTGAAGGTGCCAGATGTCAGAGCTTGATCCCTAGAAGAGTGTGGGAACTCCGTTGTGCGGCAGGTAATCTTGACGGGGGTTCAGGGAGGAGAAATCAGGGTTTGTTAAACCCTCGTGCGATCTTCCGTTAGCTGATTCTGCATGTTCGCGCCCTGGGGTGCGCAGTGGGGACTGGGGGAGGATACTGCCGCTGCCTTCAGCCACTTGCTGAGGTTCAGCACGCATGCTATATGTAAATTGGATCTTCGATGCATAATTAAGCGCCTTCGACAATACGAGAGGAGTTCCAAGCAGGAACCTGTCCCGGCGCCGGCGCGCCCCCCCGACCCACGAGTGGCTTCTCTGCGCGACAGCCCCTACACTCGCCCTGTGCGTCGTTGATTTCATAAACCGAGCACCATGTTGATCCAAAAGAAGGTGCGAAGGGCGTTGGTTCTGCATTGGGGTGCTGGGCTGCCGCATGCTCCATTGCCCCACCCGCCAGTGTCCAGCACTCCGTTCTAGCCGAGTCACCGACCTTTCCGCCCCCCTCCACCCATCCATCCCAGGGCAACACCGGGTCCTCGGCCCAGTTCATGACCCGCAACCAGGCCCTGAAGAAGCTGCAGCTGAAGCTGGGCGAATTCCGGCGCCTGTGCATCCTCAAGGGCGTGCACCCACGGGAGCCACGGCGCAAGACCCAGGGCGCGCACAAGACCTACTACCACGCCAAGGACATCGCCTTCCTCCTGCACGAGCCCCTGCTGGCCAAGATGCGCGAGCTGCACGCGTACGAGAAGAAGGTGCGGCGCGCGCACGCAAAGAAGAACGCCGCGGCTGCGGCGCGCCTGGCCGCCCGCCGCCCGCGCTACGCACTGGACCACCTGGTCCGGGAGCGCTACCCCTCCTTCGTGGACGCGCTGCGCGACCTGGACGACCCGCTGACCATGGCCCACCTGTTCGCAGTGTTGCCCGCCGAGGGCGGCGCCGGCATCCCCGCCCGCGTCGTGCGCGTCGCGCGCCAGCTGGCGCTGGAGTGGCAGGCCTGGGTGGTGCGTGCGCACGCCCTGCGCCGTGTCTTCGTCTCGGTCAAGGGCTTCTACCTGCAGGCCGAGGTGCAGGGCCAGGCGGTGACCTGGCTGGTGCCGCACAGCCTGTCCCAGGTGCTGCCGCAGGATGTGGACTACCGCGTCATGCTCACCTTCCTGGAGTTCTACCAGACCCTCCTACAGGTTTGATTCTGGGCGGTGGGGTGGGGTGGGGTGGGGTGGGAAATTGTGGGCTGGAGGGCTGGTGGAAGTCCCGTTTGTTGGGCAAGTCGAGGGATCAAGTGAGGGGCATGGCATGACGACTTCAAAGGCTTTTTTTTGAGGAACCCTGCCCCACTTCGCGCGCCCTGCGCATCCCTCGATCCCCTCCTCCACCTCTGACGCCCCACCTCCCCCACCAATCATCGCAACCCCAGTTTGTGAACTTCCGGCTGTACCACCTGCTGGGCCTGCGCTACCCGCCCCTGCTGGACCCGGAGCTGGAGGAAGGCGCGGCGGAGCTGGAGGCGGTCATGCGCGACCTGGCCTCCGCGGCGGGGCGGCGGCTGGAGGACACCCATGCCGAGGCGGAGCCCGAGCGGCGCGAGGAGGCGGCCGCCGACGCGGCCGTGCAGCGCCGGCTGACGGAGCGCGTGCGCCAGCTTGAGGCGGAGGTGGCGGGCGGCGTGGGCGCGGGCGGTCTCGCCGCGCCGGCCAGCGAGGACGGCGGCGAGGCTGAGGGCGAGGTCGGGAGCGAGGGCGAGGAGTTTGACATCGACTCTGGCGAGGAGGAGGAGGGGGCTGGCGACAAGGTGGCCGGGGACGGGGAGGAGGAGGAAGACGCCAGCGCCTCCGACCCGGAGAGCGAGGACCTTGAGGGAGGCAGCGAGAGCGGCGAGGAGGAGGAAGAGAGTGTGGACGAGGGCGACTCTGACGGGGGAGCCGACGCAGGATCTGCAGACGAGGCCCTGGCCGGCTCCTATGCCCCCGGCCTGCTGGTGGACCCCGACGACGAGGCGGCGGTGTGCGCCACGCTCTTCCGTGGCCTGGTCTTCTTCCTGGGGCGGGAGGTCCCGCGTGAGCTGCTCCTGCTCACCATCCGGTCGGCGGGGGGCGAGGCCACCTGGGACGGGCCGGGGGCCACGATGGCGGAGGGCGACGAGCGCATCACTCACCAGGTCGTGGACCGCCCGCGCCAGGGCCACCGCCACCTCACCCGCGCCTACGTCCAGCCGCAGTGGGTGTGGGACTCGCTGAACGCGCGTGTGCACGCGCCGGTGGAGCGCTAGCCCCCGGCCTGGCCCCGCCCCCGCACCTCTCCCCATTCGTGGACGCGGAGGAGGAGGGGTACGTGCCCGAGTACGGGCGCACGCTGCGCGCGCTGCGCGAGGCCACCGTGGCCGCGCAGCGCCGCGCCCTGGGCGCCGGCTTCGTCGCCGACC